TTACTTTAACGATGGCACGTGACAAATAGACGCTTCCATAATTTTGTGTATCTCACAGTGGATACATGTTGATTTTGTCTGCGATTTATCAACTCCTTTATTAGTTGACTATGGGGTTTCTTGTTTTGATATAATTCTATTAGTTTAGTTTTTACATCATCCCAATTATCCAAATCGTACAAAGAAATTCGATTCTTGGCATTACCAGTGATTCTGGAGTAGATGAATCTGAAGAGTGGATACTTATTCTCTTCAGAGGACAATTCGATAGCATTATCACAATCTTCAATAAATGCATTAAGTTGGTTCCTTTCTCCGGAAAAGAAATTAGGAACTAGACTACACAAGAAATCAAGGGGTATTTGGGATGGGTTGAAAACAGGTTGATCAAGTTTAGGCATTGTTCACAAAATGAGTTACCTATTAACTACTACTTACAGTATAAAGAAATTCTGATAAAGAGTTAAAACCCACCAACATGAAACGAATTACTTAAGAATTCTCCGGTTTCTTGTCGTTCAGAATGATCCTTCATCGACTGCGCCAAAATTTTTAATATGTTATATTCGGTTCGTTCTTTATTTTTGTAAGTAATGAACAAGCACTTAAAACTATCACAAAACTAATATTAATAAACAAGAACTTATTACAGCTAGACTAAAAATCAAAATGAACCGACGCCAAGCGGTGTAGCTTGCCTATATTACTTTGGTCTTTCGTCAGTCAACTGTTTCGAACGAGCAACAATGGGAACTAGCAAACACTTGCAAATAAAATAAAAGAAGGAGTCTTTAGAAGCTTCGCTTCTAAAGAAGAACAATTTGAGTTCGTCGCCAGTCTTTTGTTTATAAAAAGTTGAAAATGTGAATATTGAGTACGGGATCATAACAATATATTATAAATTATGATACTTAAGTATATATATATATATATATATATATATATATATATATATATATATATATATATATATATGTATGTGTATGTATTTATTAATATAATAATAATAATAAAATTATTTTTAAAAAAAACGAATCAAAATTATATATTATTATTATTATTATTATTATATCAAAATCACCTATTAATACTTATTATTATTATTAATATAAATTTATATTATATATATATATATGCTTAAGACACTTAAATTTATAATGAGCGCATTTTATTATTATTATTAGCATTGCACCGGTGCCATTTTTATTATTATTACTATTATTTAGTTGTTTTAATTTTCTAATAATGATCTCAATTCATAAAAAAAAGGCACTTAATGCAATGAAATCAGGCACAGGCACACACACACAGAGAGAGAGAGAGAGAGAGTTGATTAAAAATAAAAATTTATAAGTTTTTTTTACATTCACGCGATTGGTGTTTATTAAAAGTGTAATAGTTTAAATGTAAAATAAATAAAATAAAATAAAATTATTATTATTATTATTATTATAATTAAATAATTATATATTTATTTTAAAATTTCATTCCGTATCATTTGACATTAAATTTTTCGTGTTTTCCCGTAAATATTTCAAATAATTTTTGATTTGTGACGTATTAACTCATACGTCATCGTTTTGTTTTCTTCTATTTGTTAAAGGAAGGAAATTTTAAATAGAAACAAATTAGTAAAAAAAAAAAAAAATACGACGACTCGGAAAATTTAACGTCGACGCATTTTTTATTTTCATTTTATTATTATTATAATTATTATTATAATTATTATTATTATTATTATTATTATTATTATTATAAATATTAATTACAAAATAAGAAGACTTTTAAGGTTTAAAAATTTAAATAATTAATTAAAATACGTACTTGTAAGTTGATGAAAAGTAGCAACGTTCAAAAAATCCCTGGTTAATCCTGACGATTGATTACGTCATTTGAGAAGAAATATATCGATATCGAACGATATGTTCGATTAATCGATATGTGCGATTAAACGCCGCACGGTAGGCAAGAACATTTCGATGGTACCGTTATTGTTTTCGTGTAATCCGTACCATCTTCGCAAGTTAATCCGACGGCGAGAAATGAAAATTCTTCCGGTTGGCAACACTTACAAATATTATTATGAGTTAAATTTTCTACAAAAAAAAAAAAATAATAATAATAATAATAATAATAAGGGGTATTATTTATTTTCGGATCAAGTATCAAATTAACCGGAAACGGAAACGGATTTTTTTTTTTACCTGGATCGTATTGAGTGTGCGAATGACAATTACCGGAACATTGAGTGAAATTTTGTAAAGGTAACAAATTGTGACACAAACCGTGAGCCGATTTATTTTCACGTATCAAATGAATCGTTGTTTCCGGTGGCAAAGGTTTCGGCACACAATTCCCTGAAAAAAAACCAAAAAAAAAAAAAAAAATTTATTATCATTATTATTAATAAGAATAAAAATAAAATAAAAATAAAAATTTACTTAGGCTGTCCGATGTGATTTTGCATTTTAGGCAGCATTTATCTTTGTAAATGTTTTCTTCTGCACAATCTTCTATCGATGGACAACTTTCCAATTGTGTCGATATCGAAAACTGAAATCAATAAATGATCGATTAATGAATTCTCTCTCTCTCTCTCTCTCTCTCTCTCTCTCTTGCTTTGATAGATTATTGAAAATTTCTTACGATTCCATTTTTCTCCGTGCAAGTGTTGTTGGCGCATTCATCTTCGGATAGCCAACTCTCACCGTCTTTGTATATTTTATTATCAGCCAGACATCCTGCTTGCACGCACTGACCGCAACATTCGCCATCTTTGTGCTTGTATTCCCAACCCTTTGAAATGCCAAAAAAAAATTAATATTCGTCAAAAAATAATATAAAAAATAATTGGATGAAAAACTAACTTACGATATCGCAATCTTTGTTGCAAACTTGCAATCTTGTTTCCTTTATTATTTGTCCATCTTCCAGTTTATTACATTTAAATGTTTCGCAAGGTTTTGTCGCGTCCGGCAACCACGCATCTCCCACCTTAATTTAAAAAATTTTAATGAAAACGTTTTTTTTTCTCGAAACTTACGCCATCGGATTTTTTATGAAAACTTACCGGATGAACGTTGCCGTGATGCTTGCAACTCTTTCTTACAATTTCTGGACAACATTTATCGGGATTGTACACTTCTTCCAATTCGTATTCGTCGAAATCTTGATGTTCGGTTAAAGTCGGACATTCGGTTATCGTACAAACAACTTCGGCGACTCCATCTTTTTCCATGCAAACGCATATTTTGCAAGGACCGTCCGTCCATCTTTCTCCAACCTGTCGGAAAAAAAAAAAAATCTTATCAAATTTTCTTTTTTGTGTATAATGTTATTGCGATTGTATTGTTAATTACCTCCTTAACGATTATTTCGTTATTTTGTCTTGTTATCCTTTGTACTCCTACGGAATGTTTGGCGTCGGATAATTCATACACGCATAAGTGAGAAGGTTTTTCTAAAAAGAAAAAAGAAAATTTCATTTATTGCCCATCGTACTGTATGAATATAACAAATCGAATGTGATTTCGAATTACCGCAATAATGTTCGGGACAACAATCCGTTGTATTGTAAAATTTTTTTACGTAGTGAGGTTTGCACGGTTTCGTTTCCGGACAAGATTGCTTTTGACACATGATATCTAATTTAGGACAGCATCCCGTTTCGTTCATGACTGCTATCATACCCGGACCCAAACCACTTTCGGGCATTTCCACTTTTGGACACGTGTCGGTGGGCTTGCAAACTATTCACAAAAAAAAATTATTATTATTTATTTTAATTCCTGGTATGGGCAAAACGAATAAAGTATCGATTTAACTGTTTGAACATTATTACCGCATTTGTGTTGTGGACAACACGAAGTATCGCTTTCGTCGACGACGAGTTCTTCGTGTTCGTTACAAACAATGTCGACGACAGGGCATTTGATGTTGTTACACGTGATTACTTTATTATTGCAAGTGCAGTTTGTACATTTATCGACTTGCCAAGTTTCGTCTTCAAAATGTCCTCCTTCTTCATCACAATATTGACAATATTTTTCCGATTTGCATGTACCATTTATAAGAATCTAATAAGAAATAATCAATTTATTAAATTTACATTTCATTTTCATAATTAAATTGAGGAATTGTAATTTTTAATTTATTTTTACCTCGTTGTTAGGACAGAAGCAACCTTCTATTGGTGAATTTTGACAATTTTCCGACTTTTCAAGTAAGTCTTCGCAAGTTTCCGTGCATCCATTGTGACAAGGTTGATATTCGAGATCTAAAAATAAATGAACTCGTGTGTTAGCGTACATTTCACTTAAACAAAGTTAGTAAATATAATGTCGCGTTTACGCAAACCTGATGGGCAAGTAAAAGGACAGAATTCATTTGATCTCCAATTTACGCAAATTCCTACGTCCCTACAAGCTTGACTGAAGGATTCTAAGCTGTTGCAAATATGGCCGTTCAGACAAAGAGATTCTAAACATCTGTCTATAAAAGGTGCCGGATCCACAAAAGCTAAACACTGGTTTAAAAAAAAATTTTTTTTTATTAAAATTTTTTTGGAGTGTTTATTAAAATACGTATTTAAAATAAAATTCACCTGTCCGAAAAGATCTTTATCGGTCATGAGAAGACACATTTTTTCATGTTCTGATGTTGGCGCACATGGAATTGGAGGTTCGATCAAACATTTTTCCTCTATACGAAAAAAAAAAGACAAATTTATTAACAAATTAATATTAATAATAATAGAAATATACCTTATGAAATTTTTAACTGACCGGGATCAGTTTGCCAAACTTCAGGTCCATCGATATTTTCCAACTCTACCATTTCTTCCGTACAAGTGCCTGAAATTTAAAAAAAAATTTTTTTATTGTGTTGTAATGGTTTGTAGAAAAAAAAAAAGGTTTTAATAAGAAGTTTCCTTACCGCAAAGACCTTCCACTTTATCGCTGTAGAAATGAGAAGGCATGCTTATGCTGAATGCAAATCTTTTGTAAAAAAATTTAACTTCCAAATTTTGTTTGGGTAAAATTACCGTCACTGAAGATGTGCCAGGATTATAATCAACTTTTGCCCAATTTCCAACGTTTCGAAGAGTTATCGGATTTTGCATTACATCATCGATCAATATATTTACCATCTACACATGTATAAATTAATTAAATAATGAAAAATAATCATAAACAAAATCCTTTTAATTTTTTTCATTACCTGTGGCGATTCTTCGGACGACATCAATTTTATAGAGTTGCCACCAAGTTTAATTTCAATTTTTTGAGTGCAAGTCATGTAATCGCTTTGATTGCATAAACCGTTCGTTATGTAAACCTTGAAATAATTTTTTTTAAATAATTTAAAATGAATAAACTAATTTAATTTATAAAAAAAGATAAAATTTTTACCTCGAATTGTGACGAACCCGATGCGTTTTTGTTTCTCGTTGCAAGATACGTACAATTTCCATTAAATGTTAAAGCGCCGTCGAAAGTAAGATAAGTGGAATCTCCCATTCCCTTGCATACGCCTTAAAAAAAAAAAAAAAAAAAAAATTTCAATTCAAAAATTAAAAAAAAATGAATTTCAATTCAAATAACGGAATAAAAAATCACTTACAATCTCGACAATCTGGTACTTTTATACACTGGCCGTCTTTTTTAACTTTTCCGTCGGGGCAAAAGCAACCGGAAAAACATTCCGTTGCTGGCTCCGCGCACTCTTCTTCATTTCCGCACGTTGGTTCACAGGCGTAAGGATAGCAGTCGTAGTGCACCAAATTCGGAGGACACGATGACGCTACATGCAAAAAGCAAATAAGATAATTTACAAATTTTTTTTTTTTTTTTTAACGTAACGAGAGTAAAAATATTTTTATTGATAAACTCACGACAATCGTGTTCGACTCTCCAACCAAACATTTCAGGATTGGTACATTGCGAAGCAACCTCTGAAAGTTTATCACACCTGCATTCATCTTCCGTTTTATTCCCTATCAAACAATTGCAAACATCTTCAATACAATGTTCCAAACTGAATTTTGTCGGACAACTTGAAAATGGTTCTTTCCTAAAAAAAAAAACAAGCGTTTTATAAAAATAATAATAATTATTATTATTATATAAATACTCGTTAGTATTCGATAAAAAAAATTTTATTTTACCTCAGAGAAGAACATATTTCGAGGGCAACGTTTTGTTTTTCCATCGGACAAACAGTTTCCACGCATTCTTTGGCTCCTGGATTTACCCAGGAATCTCCAAAATCCACGGTGGTCTTGGATATTTTACCATCCGGAAGCGTTTTATCATCTTGAGGATGTCCGTTGTACAAACCGCACAAACCGTTCAAATGTCCTTTGTGTTTACCGACAACCTTAAATAAAAATAAATCCCCGCCCATTTTACATTTATGCCGTTGTTTCGATAAATTATTTCATTGATAAATATGAAATGACGACTAAAAAATATCTTTTTGTTATATTTACCGTTATTCGAACGTTTCCATTCACGTCATATCTTATTTCAAATCCGTAAATGTGTGATGTAAAAACAATTGAATTTCCAACGGGATAAATACTTAGCTCATCGATTTTTGAATTTAATAATTCTACCTGTTTGAGAAACAATAAAAATTAAAATTATTATACCTTTTCCTTTGTTTATTAAAAATTTTCTTTTTCAATTCGTGATAAAATATTTACGTGATTTTCGGAAAAGACAAATGAATTAAATTTAATTGTTCGATTATGTGGATGAAGTTCGATCGTGTGACTTCCGTGTTGAATTAATAAACTCGATACACAAGGTGACATATGTTCGCAATTTTTAATCACTGTTAAAAAAATAAAAAAAATATGTAAACATGTAAGTTACGTAAAAATTAATTTAATAAAAAAGGCGTACTTGATACGTTCCACAATCCTCGATCATCTCGTGCCAATACGTGATCGCATATATCATATTTGTACTCGGTTCCGTCAAACGTTTTTATATTTTGAGAGGAAATGCTGCAATTGTCGTAACGCGGAATTGGTTTGCACGTGTATAACGGGCACGATCCTTCGACTTTTGAAAATTCTTCTTCTACCACCTAAAAACAAAAAAAAATTATTGTAGTGGGTGAAAAAACAAAAGGAAAAAATCATTCGAAAAAAAAATTTTTACCAAGTAATCATTTGGACATTCCGGAGGCATACAATCGAATGTTGTATCTTCTACAGGTACGCAATCATAGGGCGGACATTCAACCAATTTCGCTGGTTTATTTCTTTTCTTTGATTTTTTCGATCCCCGATAAGTTTTAACGGATTTTTTAGATTGGAATTTTAAAGGTCGGTAATTAGTATCGATCATGTGTTCAGCTTCGGATGGACCAGTTACTTTTTTTCTGTATACGATGTTATAACCTGGAGGACAAGTTGCTTCACAGGGTTTCGGTTTAGGCTCAACTGAAATTATACATTTTTTTAATTATTAAGTTTTTCGTCGAGTTTTTAAAATGACGTGAGCAAAAAAGCAAAAAATTTTATTACATTTTGGAATTTCTATGGTTGTGCAATTGACTTCATCATCTGGACAATCTTGAACGCCATTGCACCAATAAGCTTCGTCCAAACAATAATTTGATGTCGGACAAAGCCGAGTATTTTCTTCACAAGGCTTACAAGTGCAGCCACACAGTGGCGTGAGAGCTTTAAACAATCCTTCGGGGCAATCATCACAAGATTTAGGTACGCAGTGTGGTATACCGTACATTCTGCAAATGCATTCTTCACATTTTTCGGTGGTGAAGGCGGTTCCGACGGAGTACCTATAATAATAATAAAATATTTGATTTTTATTTAAATTTTTTTTGACGATTCGATAAAGGTGAATGGGGAATATTGGATATTACGATATGAGTCCTGCATAACATGGACATTCCGAATGTGCAACGCATTTTTCTCCGTCCCACCATTCGTTTTCATCACATTTACATTTTTCTTCATCTACATCATCGTGAAAAGCACCTTTGCAAATGTTACATTTAAATTTGGGTTCTTCGGTTACTTCAGAATCTTCTAATACCGCTAAAAATTATATTAATAAAAATATTTTTAAAATGTTTAGTGCAGTACCATACATAAATAAAAATTTATTATACTTACGTGTGTGATTGTAACAAGCCATAACGTCTAATTTTAAAGCTATATTTTCGTGCCATTTTTCAGGTACAATTTTCATAGATTTGGCATGAATAGGTAGTTTGAAATAATTTTTCCGAGGAGTTTCAGCATCCGTGTTACCCATGAAAATCTATTTAAAAAAAAAAAAAATTACGTTTGAATTTATATATATATATACATATTTTTTTTTTTTTAGTTAAAAATGTCAATAAAATTTTTTTAAATTTACCATTTCATTTCCAAAATCATCAAGAATGGGATTCCAGTTTAGGTAATCACTGCTGTATTTAACTTTATACCTTTCCACCCAGGACTCTTTTACACCGTTTATTTGTGGTAAACCTTTTGTAACAATTGCACTTATATTTGCGTAATCTCCGAAATCAATCTAATAACAAAATATGAATTTAGAAAACTATGTTTTTTAATAAAAAGAATTTCTTAAGTAAAAATAATTAAACCTACTTGAACCCATTCGGATTTTGAATTGGTAAGAGGTTGCCAGCCTTTTCCACTGTTTAAGTTCAAATTGATCGGAGTGGCATGTGGTTTCGAAGAAGATGCAATGACATTTAATTTCGGATATTTATTTTTTCCAATATCCATAGGAATATTGCAGATGGGTGGTGGTGCTGCCGTCGTATGCAACGTAGTTGTGAAATATACTGATGGAGTTGTTGAATGCTCTAAAGAATGAATAGTTGTGGTATGCTTATTTATAGATTGAACTGTTGGAATTTTTTCTGATGAATGAATTAACGTTGAATATTTTTCTGGAGAATGCACAGTAGTAAAATGAATTTCAGATGAATGAGTACTTAGAAGAGGATCTTGGGGGGAATGATCAGGTGTCGAATGGGGTTCCAAAGAGTGAAGGATAGATGGGAATATTTGGGGATGAGTAGTTGCTGGTTGTTCATGAGGATGAGCAGTCGACGGATGATCTTTAATGGAGTGAATAGTAGATGGCACGTCATGAGGATGAGCAGTCGAGGGGTGATGATCTTTAATGGAATGAACAGTAGAATGTATTTCGTGAGGATGAACAGTCGACGGATGATCTTTAATGGAGTGAACAGTCGATGGCAGTTTATGAGGATGAATAGTAGATGATAGTTCATGAGGATGAACAGTCGATGGATGATCTTTAATGGAATGAGCAGTAGAAGGCATTTCGTGAGGATGAACAGTCGATGGATGATTCAGTAAATTTTCTGGAATAGGATGAATTGTTGGAAGATGGGTAGAATCTTTTATAGAATAAGCAGGAAACGAATATTTGACGGAAGGATTAATGGTGGATGTAATTCCTTCTTTTAGATGAGCCGGTGTTGAAGAATGCTCTGGAGAATGAGGAACGGAAGAGAAATGATGAGGATTTTCTGTAAATTTTCGGGAAGGATATGAACTAGTTTCATGATTCTCTGTTAGATGACTCTTAGTTGAATGAATTATTGAATGAGCTGTTGATGAGTATTCTGAAATAGATGGATGTTTGTCTGAAGGATAAGAAGTAGTACCATGTTCTACTGATGATTGACTTGTATGAGAATGTACAACCGAAGATTGAGTAGTTACTGGATGTTTTTGTACAGGAGAATACGTTTTTGAATATTCCAAAGAAACCGTTGTTTTAGATGGTTCAGTTGTTGGATTTTCTAAATCTTTACAGCCTAAAATATCTACTTTTAATCCAATGCCTTTCTGCCACGAAATCGGTACAAAACGGATAAATCTAGCTTCTATTGGTACTTTAAGAGCTTGTTTTACAGAAGTTTGCCCGTCGTAAGGGCCGCCAAAAATCTAAAATTATTATTTATTTTTTTAAAAAAACTTTTTAATTTTTTTTTTTTTTAATGAAAAAAAATCAACGAAGCATTACTTACTTCTTTTTTTCCCTCTTCATCTAAAACATTCATAAATTTACGACCATTTACGCTATATTGCAAATTGTAACTTGTTACATAATTTCCTAAAACCCCTGCTACAGATACTCCATGCACTGGTTCTACTTTTCCCAAATCAATTTGTAAAAATTGGTCTAAATCATTGGATGAGGCTACCCATTTCCCTGCAAAATATAATATAATAAATTCGATAAAAACGTAGTCTAAAAAAATTATTCGAATTATTCAAAGTAAAATTAAATTTACCGTCTTGAGTTTTTATTTGCTCAATTTTGGGTGAACCAGATTCATCCCCGTAAATACCAGAAGAAAATTTACAAAAATCGTTAATTAAAGATTCGTACCTACAATTAATTATTAATTTTATTATTTTCAAAATAAAAATTTCATCCTAATTATTATTTTAAAATTAATACTAACTTTTTAGAAGGGCAAGAAATTTGAGAAGAGTGTGCTTTAGGGGTAGTAAAATATATCAGGGTAACGTTTCCTTCTTCCGCAAAATCTAAATTAGGACTTTTAGTGTTTTTTATACGTGTGTAATTGTGATTACGTTCTCCTGCGAATGTGAAATTGTCATCAGGCGAACAAGTGTTGATACATTCAAATTCATTATTAATGCATTGACATTTTTCACATTCTGAGACTTCTAATACACCTCCAGGCTGAAAAAATAATGTTGTAAATGACTTAAAATAAATTTTTTAACTATTTACTATTTTAAAACCGAAAAAAAAAATTATGAAAAAACGTTTGTTTATTACTATTAGGAAAAAGTTAAAAAATAAAATATTTTCTTACCTTAACGAGAGACCCGCTGAATGAAACACAAGGACAATCTTTTTTAGAAACGCATGTAAAATCGTGTCTTAAGAACGTTTCTGAGGGACATTCAAAACCAATCGGTTTACACCCTAAATTAAATAAAATATTTATAATAATAACAATAATAATGATGAGTAAAAATTAAAATAATATTCGTAAAAATAAAAAATATTATTTACCGGGTAAACAATCATCTTTTAAAGAACACTGATGATTGTTACGGAGAGGTACACTTAAGTGATGACAAACATGATCACATTTGACTATACAATCATCCCAAATTTCACCTAACTGACATGCTAAAATTAAATAAATAAAATCAACTAGTAATTCTTGAAATACTCAAACAACATGAAAACATAAAACCATAACATAATTGAAGAGATATCAGAACAATTAATTCCCTTTTTATTATTAAAAGTTTTTTTTTAAAATTTTACCTTTTGAACTTGATGCCGATGATGGCGTGGTAGAATAAACATCTAAATATAAAAATTATAAATATTATTCGTTGTTTAAAATCACACTTTGTCATCAGTAATATTTTTTTTAATTGAGATTGAATTTTAAAATAGTACCTTCTAAAGTTGAATTGAACACTTGCGGTACGATAACAGTTGTACCGATGTCTTTCATACAAGTTTGTCCAGTACAAATTTTCTTATGATGGGAACAAAAACTAAATAAACAGAAATTTTTTAGTAAAATGCCCATTGTTTGGCCAATGATAATTAACGAAAGAAAATTATTTACCATGAATGACAATCATCACTTTCAATTAAATCCCCTTCTAAGTATGTCACACCGTCAATAGTCAGACAAGCTGATTTACAAGATGAAATAGGGATGCATTTATCAGAAAGAGCATCGGCTAATACATGTCCTTCAGGACACTGAGGAACATCACAACCTAAAATATTGGACATTATTTTTATTGAATCAATAAAAAATATTTAAAATGTCACGATAATTTCACAAATCGTTACCTTCTACACAAGATTCTTTAGTGCAAGTTTCATAAAGAGCAAGTCCTCGGTATTGATTGTCACATGATTTAGCAGGGCAAGCAGAAACACAGGGATTATAATTAAAACCCTTATCACACTGCATGGCTATAATAATAATAATAAATTTTTTAGTTGAAATCTTACAATGAATAAAAATTTAATATAATAATTAAATAACTTACGACAGAGAGATTGACTTCTCCATTTGATTGGTATTCCTCTGATGGTACATTCTTCTGCATAAGCGGCAACAGCTGAACATAAGCATTCGCAATCGCCTCCTTCATCGCAACCGCATGTATCAATCACGCATCTGCAATTTTTTACAAAAAATTTTATGAAAAAATTAGTTTTGAAATTGCTCTGTTAAAATTTAATTTATTATTACCTTTCAAAATAAGATTCAAAAGGTACTTCAGAGTGGCAAGGTTTAAACAAATCAGATTTTAAAATTGAACATTTTTCATTTGCCCATCCCGCTCTGTGAGGACGAATTTTACAAGTATCCTATACGGTGAAAAAATTTTTCAATTATGATAATGTAAATAAAATTAATAAAAATGATAAAACACGAATTTTTATGCATACGGTTATCGGATGAATTTCCGGACAGTAAGTTTGTACTCTCCACGAATCAGCAAAAATAACGGGCGAAACTTCACTCGTCTCACCAGAGGTAGGAGTTTTAAAATCGTCCATTTCATTATCATTAAAGTTTCCACATAATCCTTTGACCTAATTAATAAAAAATTACATTGTAAGTTAATATGATTATTTTAATGAATAATTTGTAAACTTATCAAAAGCTTACAAACCCTGTTTTTCCATCTAGAATCAGCTTTTACATAAACTCTGGTATTTTTATCCCATTGCACAGTTATTCCCAAATCAAATATTTCGGCAAAAACAAAAAGACCCACTTCTCGGACGTGTATTCTCTCTAATCCCGATTGTGATATTTTAGGATCAGATTTTTTAAAAACTACTTGTTCTTCCTTATCAGAAGATCCAACTTTTAAAGTAATTGTTTTGGGGCAGCTAATTCCAGTTGAGCCACATGGAACAATCTAATATTTAAAATGTGACAAATTAGCTTTTACGTAACAATTAGTTAAAAATGGTAAACGATAAAGAAATGTGAAATTTTACCTCAAGACTTATGTAAAAATTATCATGATTAGATAAAGTTCCAGCAGCTAAAACGAATTCGCAAGATCCCTCGAAATCGTAAACTTTACCATCAAATGTTTTAAAATGAGAATCCCCCCAAGTGCTGCAAACGGACGCACATTCTCTTGTCGTGCAAGTCCATAAGCCTTTATCGCAAGTACTATTAAAAAAATTTGTTTAGTGGTTAATTATAAACCTTAAAAAAAAAAGTAATAATAATAATAAAGTAATTTCTTACCAAGTGTTACAATCTTCTTGAATTTTTTCTCCATCCGCATAACTTCTTCCACCGTGATGACAAGGACATTCTTCTGCATTAACGCATTTTTTTCCAATGGAATCCCACACATATTCTTTTTTGCACACACAACCAGGGAAGCATATTCTATTTGTGTGTTTTGGTTTTTCATGCATGTTCTAAAAAATCACATGTCTATCAATCTTAATTTTGTCACTGAACAGCTGCAAATTATTTTTAAATAATGAATACCTTGCAAGTTTTGGGCTCTGCAGGTTCACAAGTTGTAAATTCTTCGTGTAAGCTTTCATTACATTTTAGAGGACTGTTTTCATAATTCCTATCAATTTCCAATTTTGTCGCAATTCTGCATGACCATTTTGCATTCTCACACATGCTGTTTTATTAAGTATTAAAAAATTAATATGATGATTTTTTTTAAAAAAAATTAATTATAAATAATTGTTACATCGTTACCAAAATTTAGGGCCTTCGCTACTTTCCATAATAATATCTTGACCCGCTTTATATTCAATGTTTTGATAATTACATGGACATTTTGAAACAGGAATACATTGATTTTTCGAGTTTAATGTAAATCCCTCTGGACAATTACAACCTTCTGCACAACTACTGTGACATGTACCATTAAATAAAGCAATATCTCGACAAGATCTTGTACAACTATCTCCACAAGATTGATATGTCTGACCAGAAAAGCAGTGTAATCCTAGGGAACAAAACATTGAATTTAAAAATAATATTTTCGAAAAAAAAAAAAAGATATTCAAATATGGCTAAAAAATTTTATGTACCACATTCTCTTATCTCAGCTCTCCAGGGTATGTCTATTCCTTGTTTTGAACATTCATTACCATAATCCGCAAATATGGGGCAAAAACAAGATTTTAAATCTTTTTGACAAGCACATATTTCATCGAGACAATTTTTGTAAAATGGTTCTTCATCCACATTTTGATGGCATGCTATTGAAAATATTTCATAAAATCGTTTATCACTTTAAGTTTGATAATTAGTATGCAAAACTTATAGTATTTAAAAAAATACATCTTACTACCTTTGAATTTTTCCGACTTTAATTGCTGACAGTATTTTTCAGCAATATCTTTATATTGCACATTAGAATCACATGGATGTGGCTTTAGAGGATCTAATGCGTCATCACAAGTTTCATCGGTTTTCCATTTCTCGGCAAATGCGGTAGGAGATTGTTCTATATCACCTTCAGGAGTAATAAAATCATCTTTTTGATTTCCGTTAAATGTTCCACAAAGACCCTATTAAGCATTGAAAAGCCGCCATTATGATTTCGCTCTTAAATAAAATACTCAAAAAAAAAAAAAAAAATTTACCGCTGTCGGTTCATCAAATTCTCCTGGTAAATCAACGTATATTGTATTTTCCCCATCCCACAATATTTCTAATCCTTCGGGAAAAGTGACTAAAAAGAATAATTAATTAAACGTTAAAAATAAGATGTAAAAAATGTTAGCGTTTTCGAATTCACGGAATTAACTTTATAACGTTTTTTTTGTAATTCTAAGAGTGTTACATCATCTTTTTTAGTTTATCAAATATTTCATCTCCTATAAACTTGGCAATACCTTCAGAGGTTTACCGGTATATTTTAAACAAACTTATTTAAGAAATCAATTTCAAAAGAAAGAAAAAGAAATAATTAAATTATGATTAAATAGTTTTAAAATTACCTGCTACGTAAATGGATGATGTCGACCGAATGACAGCGCCATCTATTTCCGACGGAAGAGAAGTGATTTCAGCTCCGTTGATAAAAATTTCTTTATTTTTTTTTAATTTTATTTCGTTATCTCCGTGAACGATTCTCACAGCTTTTGAACATATCGAATGACTCATCGCATTACCGAAAAAAACTTCGTTTGAAAATAATAAGTCGGAAGAACAACGTACGTTTATCATTTCGACGATAAAATTTTTAGATTTGATTAAATAATACGAGCATTGTCCGGTAAAATCATATCTTTTTCCATCGAATGTTCTAAAATGGGAGTTTCCGGTTGAAGAGCATCTGGATCCACATTTAACATTTGTGCAAATCCATTCTCCACTTTGACAAGCACTAAAATATGAAAGGTAAAAATTTTAAATGTTTTTTAAAATTTAATTTATATAAATACAAAAAACTAAATCATCCTCACCAAGTGTTGCAATCTTTTTGTATTTTTTCGCCATTTTCATAATAATTTTTTTTCCACTGACACGGACAATTTTCCCTGCTTATGCAAGTTCCGTTGACGACAACTTTATCTTCTGGACAAAAACATCCTTCGACGCAATCGCCATATTTAGATATTTCATTTGATATAATTGAACCGCAAGTTGGTTCAACAGAAGGTCCACAAGCTGAATATATTTTATCATGAGGACAAACAATGGCTAAAATTACAAAACCGCATTGTTTTACTTTGGTAAGTGAAAAAATTAAAAAATGCTGATTTAGTGTTAAAATATTTGTGATAACGTACGACAATCAGATATTTCTCTCCACATTGTTGTTGTATCAGTGAGACCCTCATTTATTAAATAATTTTTACAACTTTCTACAAATTCTTTAACTGTTTCACAAGCACAATCTTTTCCACATTTGCAAACATCCCAAATGCATGCATTTTTATATTTTTTAAATAATTCAATCTTGTTTAAGAAAAAAAAGAAAAAGAAGCCATTTTATTTCATGAAGATAATTAAAAATTTTTTACTTAAAAAATATTAAAATACCTGTAAACATTTTTCAAAATGTGGATCATTAAAAACTTTATCACAGTAATTAATAGCTGACTCATCAGTACAAGTATCTGGTTCTTCAATTGTTGGATTGCAGTTAACTAAACAAAAATAAATTATTAAAAATAATTTATTAAAAAAAGAAAAGCATTGTTAAAAGTAACTCACATATATCTTCAACGTTATCATTTTTCCAGGTGTCGACAAACGATTGTAAATTAGAAGATGTCAAATCATCAGAAATTTGAAAATCATCTGCTGGATTGCTGTTGAAGTTGCTGCATAATCCACCGGTTTTGTTCCACATGTTGGAATTTACCATTATGGAAAGATGATCCTTAAAATCCATTTTAAAAATTATTTAATCTATTAATTTTTAAATAAATTTTGTTTAAATTAAATACTAACATCATCGCTCCATAATAAATTAACATCGACGAGTTGTAATTGTATGACGATGTGATTTCGTTTTTGTTCTATTAAAAATCCATCTAATTGAACAGGAACTCTCATAACTTCGTTATCGACAGCAAAAACGGGTATTTTATCTAAAAAAAAAAAAAAAAAAAGGTTGTTTGCTGGCTTATGAGAAAATCAAAAAAAAAAAAAAAAAAAAAGCAAAATTTGGCAAAAAGATACAGGTCTGTTTTTATTGGACGGGCTGAAACTGGATTCCCACTCCCGGGCGCTATCCCACTACTGACCAACACGGGGACTTTTGGCTGCTGAGTTTCCCCCCTGGCCCGATTCGCCCCTCCTTAGCCAACCTGGCTACCTCGGGCTCCCCCAAGGTACCCATGTTGATGCCGATCTTAGTGCGGACGCCTAGTCTACGTGAGGCATCCAACCCCAGGACCCCCGCCCTCAAAACATCCTCTATACCAGGCCTCCTAGTAGTTGGATTACAGGAGTACACCACCACTCCCAGCCGATAATCACATGAAAATTTCTTATACTTAAGTTTCAAGTCGTATAAACATCAATTTTTTTTTTTTCTATATTTAATTTTATGACATTTTCTAACATTTAAATTTGTTTTAACATTCGTTATCATTGTTAAAATTTAAAAAAATTAAATTAAATTTTACGAATGTAGTAAGAATAAATGGCGTCGTCGATTAGTTTAATTTTAAACCGCCAAAAGCGCTAGCGCTTTCAGATAATGAATAAAAAACTCACTAGAGGTCGGGACAAGCGCAATTTTATACAGACGTAAATCTTAATTAATTTTAAGTTAATTGATAATTTTAAAATTTTATTTGCACTGGTTTTAAAAAAATAAAGTGATTTTTAAAAAATAATTCAACTTACCTTTATAGTGAACTACATATTTCTTGTTTTGGTAAAAAATTTTTAAAGTTCGTGTGCATACGCTTGATACGCATGAAGATTTTTCCGTTACAATTTTGAATTCATTTCCGACTCCATCTTGAATTAAGGTATAAGAACAATCTCCTTCGAAACTAAAAAAAAAAAAATAAAGGTAATGATTTACAAGTCAATAAAACTTCACTACTTGGTTTTTATATCTTATTTTATTAAATGTTTTAATTATAATACCTATATACATTTCCATCAAATGTTTTATAATGAGAACCATTCCAGGTGGTACATTCTCCTGATTTTGGAATGGTCTGAGGTTCTAAATGATATTCTGTTTTACTAATATCAAAATCAATGGGTTCCTTACCAATAACATTAGAACTACTAGAAAACTGAAGAACTTCAACATTTTTACCTAGGTACAGTTTTTAAAATATGAATGTTTCTTTAGTTTTAACCATAATTTAATATGTGAACCAAAATAATATTCAATTTGAATTTACCATATACACATTTAGGTACGGGTTCGGGTAAAAATTTTCCAGTTGAATAATGACAAACATATTCGCTTGCAAAATCAGCATCCGGTTCGTGGCCTTCTGGACAATTAAGGGTGCACGTCACTTTTTCGTTTTCTCCGTGGCAGTTGTAAAATCCATTAAAATTTAATTTTTCACCATCACAAGCAGATATTTCTATTTAAAAAAGTACATCATATTAAAAAAAAATGAAATTAATTACTTCATTTATTAACATGGATACTTTTAAAAAATATGTACCATATTGACACTGAAATCCTGCATGAGTTTCTGGACACTGGCATTTATTTAAATCTAAGCAAACTCCTCCATTCATGCAAGGAGGGTCACAGGAAGGTTTGCAATCTGGTAGAGAGGTCCAATCCTTTCTAGTCAATGTCCATTCTCCTTGATGACATGTCAATGTTGTTGATAATGAATTGTCAGGAAAGGAATAACCAGGAGAACACTCAATAACACAATTTCTGTAAAATATGTGAGTGCAAATTAAATCACATTAATTAAAAAAAAAGTATAATTAAATAATAATTGAAAAATTTATTATTAAACCTTGATGAACAATTCATTTTAGAATTGAGAGAAACTGGAGGATGATTTTTACATGGTTCGTCGTGATACTGGCATTGTGGACCTTCGTAATTATTTAAACACTGACATTGATTTGGAGCAATGCAAATCCCATCGTTTTGACATGGAGGCATGCAAATCGCTGGAAATGATTAAAATCGGTAAAAACTTTGATATATTATCATTATCGTTAACTTTTCCAAAAAAAAAAAAAACTTACGTTTACAATAAGGAGTAGTATTTTCATCATTATGGTTCACTGCGGTCCAAATTTTATTTTTACACACAAATGTCATTTTATTTGCATCTTTTGAAAATTGATAGCCATCGTAACAAACAGCTTCGCATTTTCTTTAAGCAAAAATTATTTTTATGAAATTTTTTAGGTCAAATTAGGTTCAAATCAGGTTGTGAATTTTAAAAAAAAATATCATATATTTTTTTCTTACCTTTGAGATTCACAAGTTAAAAGTGAATTCAAAGGAGGCTGAAGAATTTCATCACAAACTGAAACGTTAAAATTGTTTTTAGTAAGGAAATGAATTTATGTGTGATAAATATAATTTAAATCTACTTACCTTCATATTGACGTGTGGGAAAGAAAATATCATATATATTACTGAAAATAATAATAATAATATTAAGTTAATCGACATTTTCGACAGTTTAAAAAAATATTAAAAGAGTTTCTTACTTTACTAATTTATTTGATGATTCTCCAATTTTTAACTTGTCAGCAAAAGGCAAAAATGGTTTTTTAGGATGATAACCCAAAAGGAATTTTTCTTGATTGTGAGCATTATATTTATGAGAATTTCCAAAATTAATATTTCCCACATTTTGACCCACAGGTTGTTGTCCAAAATTTATTTGTTCGATTTTTTGTCCTTGATGAGGATGATGATGATAACCAAAATTTATTTCTTCTGTTTGTTGTCCAACGATGGGATGCTGCCCAAAATTAATTTGTTCTACTTGTTGACCCACAGGATGCTGTCCAAAGTTTATTTGCTCCACTTCTTGACCTACGGGATGCTGTCCAAAGTTTATATTTTCCACTTCTTGACCTACGGGATGCTGTCCAAAGTTTATATTTTCCACTTCTTGACCGACGTGATTAAGAAAAGGATTTGAACCAAAATTAATTTCTTCGACTCTTTGTCCAACGTTGGATTGTCCTCCAAAATTAATTTCTTCAACTTCTTGACCTATAGGTTGTTGTCCATAATGAACTTGTTCAATTTGTTGTTGTCCGTGATGTGGATGTGAATGTGGATGCTCAACAAAATGAACATGTTCCGGTCTTTGACCTATAAATTTTCCAAGATGATTTTTAAAATACCCAGATAAATGACGTTTAAAATTTTGTTTTCCCGAATCAGAATAATTTTCCTGGAAAATATTTTTAACTTCAAAATTTTTCCCCGTTTTTAATAAAATATTTTTACTCTCATTTTCATTTTCTTTATCCGATGATAAATTACGAGAAAGTTTCAAATTAGCTTTCACATTAACGATATAAAATAAAAAAACAATTAAACATGTCGAAACAATAAAATTTCCCGACAACATAATTATTATTATTATTAAAATTTATTTTCCCGCAGTGCCAAACAACATTCAATGAATGGATAATGGCAAAGACTGGAAATCTTGGATGTCATGCCGGAGTTTTTTATCCCCGAGGAAAATTATTCACATGGATTTATCAACAGGAAATGGAGATAAATTTTAAATAATTTCGTCCTAAATCTAAAATTATACAGGACCGAAAAAAAAAAAAAATCAACCCTAAAATTTTTTTTATAAAATAATAATAACCGTGAAATAATTTCACACGATTGGACGCCTTTTTTAATCATCATCATTATTATTATTATTATTTTGTACCTTTTCAATACTTGATTTCGAAAAACGAGTATTAAAAATTTTAAATTTATTATTATTAAAATAAAATAATTTAAACGATGTAGAATTTAAAATTAATTTTAATAATTTCAGGTTTTTCAAAATGCGCGTGCCTGATGTGCCAAAAAAAAAAAAAAAAAAAAATTGCTGTTGCGAAATAAACTTTTTTTTTATTTTCTTTTCTCGGTCCTGTTGTCTACAGCAAAAAAAAAAAAAAAATTCTTAGACTTTAATGCTTTTACATACGATAAGCTTTATCTTAGAGACCAGAATATTCTAGAAGCTACGTATAATAATAATAATAATAATGCTAGTAAACAATAATATATTAAAACGATTTTCCCGATTCGATTTCAATTAATTTCAATTAATTTAATTAATTAATTAACATTATAACGTATTAACTAAAATAATAATAATAATAATAATAATAATAATAATAATAATAATTTTAATTATCAGTAAATTATTTTTTCCCATTTTTTTTTTTTTTTGGAATTCGAATAAGAAAAAATTCGTAGAAAACAAGAATTTGTTTGATGACATATTTTTTTTTTTTATTTTCCTAACCTAAATTTTCCAGTTCCCACGCACTCACTCATCTTATATGTAAAAAAATTATTATTATTATTATTATTATTATTATTATTAAAAGAAAGATAATAAAAAAATTGACCTAAAAATTATACGTTTAGATATAGATGTAAAAAAAAAAAAGAAAATTAATGTGACGACGACATATTTAAAAAAAAAAAAAAAAAAAATTTTCTTTTCATTATTATTATTATTATTATTATTATTATTATTATTTACCTATTTTTTTTATTTAATGCCAGAAAACAATGGATGATGTCCTTCGAATTGTATGACGTCATAAAAATAATACGTAATTTAAATTTCTCTCAAATGTTTTTTAAGTTTTTTAAAATTTAAATTTAAATTTAAATTTATTTGATTTTAAGATTTAAAATATAAGAAAAAAAAATCAATTGATTATCGATTGATTATCGAAACAAAATGTCGGAAGTATTAATTTTAAACCTGTGGGAAATCTTTTTTTTTTTTTTGTTATCATTCGTCGGCGTAAATAAACACAAAAAGAGGAAAAATCAGTGCGATGAGATTTTTCTTTGGTTGTTATCAATAATTGTTTTCCACTTACGATTTTCTTTTTTAAAATAAATAAATAAATAATATGCGCAATAAAATAAAAAAAAAAAAGATTAATAAGTTCGGTTGTTGTTGTTGTTGTTTTTATTTAATTTTCCTTTACCCGACCGCGATATAAATAATAATAATAATAATAATGATGATGTTGTTTTATAATTTCATTTTACATTAATAATTTTTTTTTTATTTTTTAATAAGTTTGTAGAGAAAACTCAGTGGTTGGTTTCATTGTATTCATGTTAATGAAAAAAAAAAATGATAACTCATCAGAGGTAATGTCAAAGGTCAATAAAAAATTTTATTTTTATTTTTATTTTCACATTTAATAAAATAATAATAATAATAATAATAATAATAATAATAATTGCTAATTAATGGATTAATTTTAAAGTTGTGAAATTATATTTCGAAATTATGTCGTGGTTAAAAAAAATTTAATTTCTTTTATTTTTATTTTTTTTTGCTTGCTTGTTGCAACGACGAAGACAACAACAAACAACAAACAAACTTCCTTTTTTAATTTTATTTTCATTAATAATAATAATAATAATAAGAAAACCTAAGCTCCGAAAAAATAAAGAAAATTTTTTTTTATATTATTTGAATTTTTTTTTATCACGCTTCGAATATTTGTAAAAATGACGATGTTAATAAATAAAACAACAACAACAACAACAACAATAATAATAATAATAATAATAATAATAATAATAATAATAACGATAATAATAATAACGATAATAATAATAACGATAATAATAATAATTTCACAATCGACGAGTTAGTAGTAAATTTAAACTCTTATTGAAAATTGATTTTACACGATATTAATTACGTTTTAACATAATCATAATTGCACGAAAACATATTAATTATTATTATTATTATTATTACTATTATTATTATTATTATTATTACAAATAATTGGTTAATATCTTAACAATATATTAATTAAATCTCAACAACTAAACCACTCGACTACTTTTTGTTTTTTTTTTTTTTTTTCGACTAAAAAAATTTTTTAAAAATTATTTTATCAATTTTATAAACAGAAAAATAAAATCGTTTGATTGACGGGAATGAAATAAATAAATAAATAAAAATAAAAATAATAATAATAATAATAATAATAATAATAATAATAATAATAATAATAATAATAGTAATTTAAAAAAAAAAAACAAAAATGTTCACAATAAAATTAATTGTTTCGATAACGTTTATTGCAACTCAAATTTAAAAATTTCAAAATAAAAAATTTTTTTTTTTATATATAAAAGAAAATCGATTTGAAAACACAAACAATTTTCTTTTAAATAAAATAAAAGAAAATTTTCTTTTTTTTTTTTTTTTTGTTTTCCCGGAATAAATCGTTGTGTCGAGTGAGAAAGAATAAAAATGAAAACGTTTAATTTTCCTATAATAATTATTATATTTAATAATAATAATATTATGTGTGGTAATAATAATAATAATATTAATAAAATTTGATTTTTTTTTTTTGATTAATAAAATATGAATTTATTTATTTATTTTTATTTATTTATTAATTTTTTTTTTTTTTTTGTTAAATTTACGTAAATGATTGTGTTTTTTCATCTGACATTCAAACTTTTAATGATAGTGATAAGAAAATCATGTAAGGTTAGTCAAAGTTAGCATCCGAAACCATCTGATACACACAATATCAAAATCAAATAAAATAAAATGAGCGTACATAATTCTGGTGAGTTATCATTATTATTATTATATTAAATAAATACCCTTTGGGATAAATAAAAGTCATTATTATTATTATTAATAATTATATTTATTAAAATTACCCTTAGGGGGCGGGTGGTGGAAAATAAAAAATAAAAAAATTATTAATAAATGTGATAAGGGGTTGTGTCCGAACGAAATTGATTTTTAATAAATGTTAATAAATTTAATAATTATGTAAATTGTTAATAAAATACATAACTTATTGATTTTTAATTTAAAAAAAAAAATAATAATAATTTATACGAACTCGTAGCGAAAAAAAATAAAAAAAGAAAAAAATTTAATTCGTTTTTTTTTTTTGCGGCAAAACTAAAAACGAAAATTTCTAACGTAAATATTATTATTATTAATATTATTAAATAAATAAATAATAATATTTATTAAATATTATACGACGACGACGACGACGACGTCATCGAAAAACTAAAAAAAAAAAAAAATTTATATATATATAAATTATTGATTATACAAAATAGTTTTGTTGTAAAACTAAAAATGACGACCTAATTTTCTTTTTAAATAAATAAATAAAATAATAATAATAATAGTAATGATAATAATAATAATAATAATAATAATAATAATAATAATAATAATTTAAAATTTTTATTATGTTAGTTTTTTAAATGTGCGGATAAACTTTTCAAAAAGTTTTTTTAATTTTTTTTAATTAAATTATTTAAAATAAATTTTTTTTTTTTTTGTTAATAATAATTAATTGTAATAAAATAAAGGTAAATTAATAATAATAATAATAATTAAAAACGTTTAAATTTTATTTAAATCGGTAAATAATAATAATAATAATATTAATTAAATAAAGATTCGAATTTTTATAGGAAAAAAAAAATTTTTTTTTTTCTGTTTAAATTGACCCAATGATAATGATTTGATTTTTAATTAATTAATTAATTATTTAATTAATAATAAACTTATTAAAAATAGGATTCGATACGATCTAAATTTAATTTTTTTTTTTGTGACAATCAACCTTGAACGAAGGTTTCCTCTCCTAAAAATTAATTTTCGACCTTTTTTACCAAAGGCCATTTTCTGTTCTAACCGTTAAATAAATATACAACAGCAAAAACAACAACAGCAACAATGTTTTTTTAATTAATAAATTAATTAATGTGTTTTATTTTATAAAAAAATTATTGATTCTATAATTTTTTTTTTTTGCCTTTGCCTTTGCAGAAGGTATCGAAAGAAAAAAAAAACGAACAAGTGCAGCATGGTTCCTCCTGCAAGGTTTGTCCGAAGTTATGGGAACAGGTTTATTAGTATTTATCGGTTGTTCTGGAGTAATGCCGGGTTTAACTTCATCACCTCCATCTCATTTACAAATATGCATTGTTTTCGGTTTGGCAGTCGCCATGTTAGTTCAGGTAAAAATTTAATAATACGCGACTTGCATTTCATTTTTGGTTAAATTTTTCAAACGATTTTTTATCTTAAAAAAAAAAAAAAAAAGGAAAAATTTTAACGAAAAATTAAAATTTCATAATTCCCTGTCTGAAAAAAAAAAAAAAAAAAAATCTTTTCAAATGATAATGTTTTCACTGATAAGAAAAATAGTGAAGAAAAAGAAAGAATGAAAGAAAAAAAAAACTGTCGGCTTTATACAAAAAATTTAAATAAAAATTTTAATTTTTTTTTTATTAGGTGTTCGGACATATTAGTGGATCTCACATTAATCCCTCGGTAACATTAGCTGCATTAGTGTACAAAGAAATATCCATATCGACAGCAGGAATGTACATATTAGCTCAATTTATCGGTGCCATTTTAGGATACGGTACACTCCTGGTAAAATAATAATTAACAATTTCCTCCCCTTCCCCTCCCTCCCCCCCGTAACAATTTTTAATTATTATTTTAAATTTTTTTTTTTTTTTTTTTAGTTTATGGCTCCCACGGCAGCTTATTACGCTGACAAATCAAACATGAACGTTACCCATGGATTTTGCACGACCGTACCTAATCCTCAACTCTCGGCCATGCAAGCTTTATTTGTCGAATTTGCGGCTACCACAATTCTCGTATACGTTTGCTGTAGTTTTTGGGATAAAAGAAATGCCGGTCAACACGATTTGGCACCTTTTAAATTTGGAATAACTGTTACCGGGCTAGCAACGGCATTCGTAAGAATTCCTAACAAAAAAAAAAAACTAATAAAAAAAGTTTTCTTTAAATTAAAAACGTATTAACTTGATCCACAGGGTCCCTTTTCGGGAGGGAGCATGAATCCTGCAAGATCATTTGCTCCGGCTGTTTTTACGGGTGTTTGGGACAAACAATGGGTAAGAAATAAACGTTATTCCGTTAAATTTAAATTCATTGATATAAATTCTTAATCTCTCCCCCCCCCCTCATGATATTTATTTCAGATATATTGGCTCGGACCTCTCTCGGCATCCGTCCTAGTAACATATTTTTACAAATTTATTTTCGAAAGAAGTAGCAGTCCAAATAATAACTTTGACCAATCGGAAGTGCCACTTAATCACCTCAACAGTAGTAAAGTTCAAAATTTGGAAAAAGTTTCTGCCGACGAAGTTTCTTAAAAGTCCGCGTCCGCGGCCGGAAAATTCAATTATTTTCCTAATTAATACTTGTAAATAAGTAGTTACCATTTTTTTTTTTTTTTTTCTTCTTTTTATCTATTTTTTTTTCTTTGAATGTTCCTTAATTCTCCCTGTTGCTCCGCAGCAAAATTTAATATTTCCTTAACTTTACGCTCTCTTTCCATATCACTAAACGCAAAAAAAAAAAAAAAAAAAAAATTTTCTTTTTGACTTTTGATTTTGATTTGAATAATAATAATAATAATAAATAAAAGTTTTACCCGATATTTTTTTTTACAGTAAAACTTTAAACGACTCGAAAATATAGATAAAAAAATAATAATAATAATAATAAAAACGCGCAAACCTTTTGACTGTTTCTCTAAATTTAAGTTTGCTCAAAAACGATCTATCCCTTCTTATTTCTCTCAAAGCTCCTTTCATTTCTCTCTTGTATTTATGTAATAATTTTGCTCTTTCTGCTTTTTTTTTACCCATCGGACGGTACTTTTTAAAACTGTGCCTGAAAAACAAAATTAATAAATATGTATCGTAAAAATTTTTTTTAAATAAATAAAATTTACTCTATACAATTACAAAACTAAAATTTACTTACACTTCTTCAATGTTAGGCTCGTACAATCTCAAAGGTTTCGGCCTTTTCTTTTCCAATGCCAACATTTTTAAATTTTCCCTTTTGAAATTTAATATTTTTTCCAAAACGTTTTCGATTGCGTCTTTCAAGCACCCGTGATAAAGTTTGGAATTTAAAAGTGGTACGAATTCCTCGAATAACAAATAAGCAGGTTGTCCCCTCTCCCAATTATCACAAAATTCCGATAATAATTTTATTCCCAATGACAGAGCATTCAATTTAAATTCGTCTGACGAGTTTGTATTTATTAAATCTTGGATGGATAATTGCGAATTGATTTTAACCTCACTGAAAAGAATTTTTTTTAAAATTATACCTCAAAAAAAAAATTTTCAGAAAACATTATTGTTTAAAATACCTCGTTTTGTCCGATAAAATTAAATTAAAATATTCCATTGATTTAGGTTCGAGGGGAAGCCTTATGGGAAAGTTGGCTGCACTTTCATGTGCCAACCTTAAAACGTTGTATAAGAAATTAACGGCTTCCGGTGCAAACCTTTTTGAAAAAGAACAATACTAAAAATGTACAAAAAAATGAATTAGTATACTTTCCACAAATTGGATTTTTAAAACTTAAATAACTCACTTCCAAAATTAAAGTTGACAAAAATAATCCCGTGCTGACGTCTATGGAAGATGAAATTTTACACTGGAAAAGAATTTGTTCCATGAACGCTAAACACGGTGTGATCACCGGATGCCTAAAATCAGACGTTGGAAAAAGTATGCTGGCCAACTTCAGAAAAACCAACTGTGAAAAAAAAAAAAGAAAAGTAAAATAATAAAAAAAATGTACAAATTAATTAATTTTCCTTAAAAATCTTAGATCTTACGGTATCTAAAGATGGATAACATTTTGGATTTTTTTGAAAATCTTTATATTTTTCTTTTATTACGTCAATCAAACTGGATGCACAACTTTGAGGATTCCATTGAGTCAGATCGAAAAACCAAGGTGCCAGTAAATTGAGAAGTTTAAAGCTATTCATCTGCCAATATATAAAAAAATAATAAATACAATATATATCCATTTTCAAAACATGAATTAAAATTTGGTAATACCTTAATTGAATCGTCAGAAGCAAAGTCTTGAATGTGCTGAAGGAGGTAAGTAAATAATAAATCTAAATTTACTTTGTGGTCGGATTTAAGACCCGGATGATTGCACTTAATCATTCTCTCAATAATAAGACTGTGATAATTCAAATCGTAACTTTTGAGTAGTTTTTCAAAATCCTCATACTCTGTGGGTATATCAAAAGTAAATGGAATTTCCACAGTTATATTTGAACTTTCTAAATGACAATTAATATTATCATCTTTTTCTCCTAAAGGCACATAGAGATTATTCGGAGTACTTTCACTGTTTTGTTTTCCTTTTTTATTGTCTTTTGTTAAAGGGATTTCCTTTTCTTTTATTGATTCATTATCGCTTTCCTAAGGAATATTCAAAAATTATTTATCTTTCAATACTTAATATGTAAATGTTAATATGAATTTTTACCCTAAGATCTGAATAACTATCGTTTTCATCATCATCATCTTCATCATCAGTATTAGCATTACTGTTGTCATCACCATCCTCATCATCATCTTCATCGTCATCATTATTACCACCTTCTTCAATCCTATTATTATCATTTCCTTCTTGAGAAGGAACATCATTTGAAACTTTGTCTTTATTTTTTTTTGTATCTAAAGTAACTTCCTCGTTTCCATCATCATTTAAATCAACACTTTCATTGTCTGAACTGTTTTCAGAATTATTTTCAGTATTTAATTCACCATTTTTGTAGGCCAAAGTACTTTCATTTTCATTATCCAACAAAAATCTATAATATTTATGATTTTATTAATTTTATTATTTTTAAATTTGGTGTTTATATGTAATAAATTCTTTACATACCCGTCATCCATATCATCTGCACTCCTGTGTTTAATTGTTTTCTCTACAATTTCTCCATGCATTCTTTGAATTCTTTCTTTTTCTAATTTTTCCAATTTTTCCTTTTCTTCTTTAGCAATTTCTTCTTCAGATTTTAGTCTATCACTTGGCTGAAATTAAAATAATTCAACTATTAAAATTTTGGCACAAGTAATATTTAGTTAATTATTAACTTCTTTTATTAAATTAATCACTTTTTAAAATAATTTCTAATTATTACCTTTCCCCTAGCTTCAAACTTAAGTTTTTTTGATAAAACATCATAAGAAGCAAATTTATCATCCTTTTTAGTATCAGGCTCAGGATCTGATTTCGTCTTTTTATTCTCTGTAACTAAAGGTAACAATTCCTTCCAATCTGAATCGAGTTTTTCAGTCATGTCTAATGTGTGTTGCTTAAGTTTTTGCTTTTCAGCTTTTCTTTTAATCGATTCGCTAATTAACTGATCTATTAAATCCTTTCTACTTTTAGGTTCATTATCAATTTTTTTAAATATTCCTCCTCCGAAATGTGCATTTTCAACAAAATTAGATTCAAGTCTTCCTTCCTCATCATTATCGTCATCATCATCGCTTTTAGGATCATCAAATTTTTCAATTTCAGAAAGTGTTTGTCCCTTGTGAGTTAACTCTTCATCGTCTCCCAGGTTGTAAATAGATTTCTAAATAAAAGATTTTAACAAAAAAAAATTAATCAAATTGTTTTCTTTTTAGTAAAAAAAAAAATAATTGTAATTTTCTTACTTTA